AGTAACGTCAGGTGAAGCAGACGAGGGCAAATTCACTGGTGGGCGGGATTCCCCAGTGGAAGTAGGTCCTTCCCAAAGAGATGGGTTAGTTGTAGTAGTAGTAGTTGTCGTAGTTGTGAAGGTTATGTACATGTCCTCAGAATTAAGATTCCATGATGTTGCAGTGTCTGACAAGTTGTGTACGAATGGTATATAATACCGACAAGATGAGAGTAAGACACATGTGCAACATCTGGGTATCTTTATTGTAGACGTTTCGCCATCCAGTGGCTTTATCAATACAGATTCCAGGACATAACTGAAGACAGTAGAACTATGTACAGAAGATGAGGTAATCAGTCCCTCAACCTAGGAGTAGGTGCGAACAGCACCATAGTCGTGGAGATTCTGAAGCAGAAGAAAAGAATCCTGGCGCTTATATAGTAACGTCAGGTGAAGCAGACGAGGGCAAATTCACTGGTGGGCGGGATTCCCCAGTGGAAGTAGGTCCTTCCCAAAGAGATGGGTTAGTTGTAGTAGTAGTAGTTGTCGTAGTTGTGAAGGTTATGTACATGTCCTCAGAATTAAGATTCCATGATGTTGCAGTGTCTGACAAGTTGTGTACGAATGGTATATAATACCGACAAGATGAGAGTAAGACACATGTGCAACATCTGGGTATCTTTATTGTAGACGTTTCGCCATCCAGTGGCTTTATCAATACAGATTCCAGGACATAACTTGAAGACAGTAGAACTATGTACAGAGATGAGGTAATCAGTCCCTCAACCTAGGAGTAGGTGCGAACAGCACCATAGTCGTGGAGATTCTGAAGCAGAAGAAAGAATCCTGGCGCTTATATAGTAACGTCAGGTGAAGCAGACGAGGGCAAATTCACTGGTGGGCGGGATTCCCCAGTGGAAGTAGGTCCTTCCCAAAGAGATGGGTTAGTTGTAGTAGTAGTAGTTGTCGTAGTTGTGAAGGTTATGTACATGTCCTCAGAATTAAGATTCCATGATGTTGCAGTGTCTGACAAGTTGTGTACGAATGGTATATAATACCGACAAGATGAGAGTAAGACACATGTGCAACATCTGGGTATCTTTATTGTAGACGTTTCGCCATCCAGTGGCTTTATCAATACAGATTCCAGGACATAACTTGAAGACAGTAGAACTATGTACAGAAGATGAGGTAATCAGTCCCTCAACCTAGGAGTAGGTGCGAACAGCACCATAGTCGTGGAGATTCTGAAGCAGAAGAAAGAATCCTGGCGCTTATATAGTAACGTCAGGTGAAGCAGACGAGGGCAAATTCACTGGTGGGCGGGATTCCCCAGTGGAAGTAGGTCCTTCCCAAAGAGATGGGTTAGTTGTAGTAGTATTAGTTGTCGTAGTTGTGAAGGTTATGTACATGTCCTCAGAATTAAGATTCCATGATGTTGCAGTGTCTGACAAGTTGTGTACGAATGGTATATAATGACGACAAGATGAGAGTAAGACACATGTGCAACATCTGGGTATCTTTATTGTAGACGTTTCGCCATCCAGTGGCTTTATCAATTACAGATTCCAGGACATAACTTGAAGACAGTAGAACTATGTACAGAAGATGAGGTAATCAGTCCCTCAACCTAGGAGTAGGTGCGAACAGCACCATAGTCGTGGAGATTCTGAAGCAGAAGAAAGAATCCTGGCGCTTATATAGTAACGTCAGGTGAAGCAGACGAGGGCAAATTCACTGGTGGGCGGGATTCCCCAGTGGAAGTAGGTCCTTCCCAAAGAGATGGGTTAGTTGTAGTAGTAGTAGTTGTCGTAGTTGTGAAGGTTATGTACATGTCCTCAGAATTAAGATTCCATGATGTTGCAGTGTCTGACAAGTTGTGTACGAATGGTTTATAATACCGACAAGATGAGAGTAAGACACATGTGCAACATCTGGGTATCTTTATTGTAGACGTTTCGCCATCCAGTGGCTTTATCAATACAGATTCCAGGACATAACTTGAAGACAGTAGAACTATGTACAGAAGATGAGGTAATCAGTCCCTCAACCTAGGAGTAGGTGCGAACAGCACCATAGTCGTGGAGATTCTGAAGCAGAAAGAAAGAATCCTGGCGCTTATATAGTAACGTCAGGTGAAGCAGACGAGGGCAAATTCATGGTGGGCGGGATTCCCCAGTGGAAGTAGGTCCTTCCCAAAGAGATGGGTTAGTTGTAGTAGTAGTAGTTGTCGTAGTTGTGAAGGTTATGTACATGTCCTCAGAATTAAGATTCCATGATGTTGCAGTGTTGACAAGTTGTGTACGAATGGTATATAATACCGACAAGATGAGAGTAAGACACATGTGCAACATCTGGGTATCTTTATTGTAGACGTTTCGCCATCCAGTGGCTTTATCAATACAGATTCCAGGACATAACTTGAAGACAGTAGAACTATGTACAGAAGATGAGGTAATCAGTCCCTCAACCTAGGAGTAGGTGCGAACAGCACCATAGTCGTGGAGATTCTGAAGCAGAAGAAAGAATCCTGGCGCTTATATAGTAACGTCAGGTGAAGCAGACGAGGGCAAATTCACTGGTGGGCGGATTCCCCAGTGGAAGTAGGTCCTTCCCAAAGAGATGGGTTAGTTGTAGTAGTAGTAGTTGTCGTAGTTGTGAAGGTTATGTACATGTCCTCAGAATTAAGATTCCATGATGTTGCAGTGTCTGACAAGTTGTGTACGAATGGTATATAATACCGACAAGATGAGAGTAAGACACATGTGCAACATCTGGGTATTTTATTGTAGACGTTTCGCCATCCAGTGGCTTTATCAATACAGATTCCAGGACATAACTTGAAGACAGTAGAACTATGTACAGAAGATGAGGTAATCAGTCCCTCAACCTAGGAGTAGGTGCGAACAGCACCATAGTCGTGGAGATTCTGAAGCAGAAGAAAGAATCCTGGCGCTTATATAGTAACGTCAGGTGAAGCAGACGAGGGCAAATTCACTGGTGGGCGGGATTCCCAGTGGAAGTAGGTCCTTCCAAAGAGATGGGTTAGTTGTAGTAGTAGTAGTTGTCGTAGTTGTGAAGGTTATGTACATGTCCTCAGAATTAAGATTCCATGATGTTGCAGTGTCTGACAAGTTGTGTACGAATGGTATATAATACCGACAAGATGAGAGTAAGACACATGTGCAACATCTGGGTATCTTTATTGTAGACGTTTCGCCATCCAGTGGCTTTATCAATACAGATTCCAGGACATAACTTGAAGACAGTAGAACTATGTACAGAAGATGAGGTAATCAGTCCCTCAACCTAGGAGTAGGTGCGAACAGCACCATAGTCGTGGAGTTCTGAAGCAGAAGAAAGAATCCTGGCGCTTATATATAGTAACGTCAGGTGAAGCAGACGAGGGCAAATTCACTGGTGGGCGGGATTCCCCAGTGGAAGTAGGTCCTTCCCAAAGAGATGGGTTAGTTGTAGTAGTAGTAGTTGTCGTAGTTGTGAAGGTTATGTACATGTCCTCAGAATTAAGATTCCATGATGTTGCAGTGTCTGACAAGTTGTGTACGAATGGTATATAATACCGACAAGATGAGAGTAAGACACATGTGCAACATCTGGGTATCTTTATTGTAGACGTTTCGCCATCCAGTGGCTTTATCAATACAGATTCCAGGACATAACTTGAAGACAGTAGATACCCAGATGTTGCACATGTGTCTTACTCTCATCTTGTCGGTATTATATACCATTCGTACACAACTTGTCAGACACTGCAACATCATGGAATCTTAATTCTGAGGACATGTACATAACCTTCACAACTACGACAACTACTACTACTACAACTAACCCATCTCTTTGGGAAGGACCTACTTCCACTGGGGAATCCCGCCCACCAGTGAATTTGCCCTCGTCTGCTTCACCTGACGTTACTATATAAGCGCCAGGATTCTTTCTTCTGCTTCAGAATCTCCACGACTATGGTGCTGTTCGCACCTACTCCTAGGTTGAGGGACTGATTACCTCATCTTCTGTACATAGTTCTACTGTCTTCAAGTTATGTCCTGGAATCTGTATTGATAAAGCCACTGGATGGCGAAACGTCTACAATAAAGATACCCAGATGTTGCACATGTGTCTTACTCTCATCTTGTCGGTATTATATACCATTCGTACACATTATCCTGTCTGTTTGCCTAAAATCTTTTTAGCAACTGGTCTCTAAATTTCATATTATCTAATATCTCAATAGTCATCCAGGGTTCGGTTCTCCATTTAATCTTAACCTCTTTCACTAGTGCAATATTATCAAGGATGGCAGTGAACCCTGTTCTGAATTTTCCCCAGGCATCATTTATGTCCATGCAACTTATCACTGTCCAATCACAATTGTGTAGCTTATTTACCAGTGTTTCTTTACTGTAGTTTATAGTTGACCTCATTTTTATTGTCCTGTGTAGGCCTATCCATTCCCTAGTGATTTTCCTGGTGCAGTAAATGAAGAAATGATCACTAAGGCCTGTGGTAATGACACTTGACTGACTAATGTTCTCCTTGGAGCCACAAACAGATAGCATAATAATTAATGTTATAAGATTAGGGAAAAGTGTGCAAAAATTTATGTGAAGCTTAAACAATATTTCACAAAACAAAATGGGAAGACAGTAACTTAAATTTTGTACTGAGGTTAAGATAGTTTTTAATGCAAAAAAAAAAAAAAACTAAAATACACTGGATATACTGTAGGATATGGCAATGAAGCTCTTTCAGAGTTATACTAACAAAATTTGCAAAGTAGTACATAAAGAAAATTACATTTCAAGGGAAAGATTAAATACAGGGGTAATTAATATGGCTCATTAAACAATTAAAATATTTAATTATCTTGAGAGATAAGTAATTTTACCAAAAAAGTATAAAGGTCTAGGACACTGAAGGACCTGTAGTCAATACTTTATTACTATATTATTTATATTAAATTTAACACACTCCTGTAAAACATGCTTAAAGCTTCTTAC